AAACCCTATCAACATTCAATAAATCAAGGAACATGCATAGAGGTTAGAGTAACCGTATCAAGAATTTCATAACTTAATGTAACACATACATAACACACCTAATGCAATATAACACAACCGTTGCCATTATCGAACCACTCCTAAATTATTGAAATTTTCAAGAGGATAAAAAAAAATATCATAAATGCTAATATGTCAAAAACATCCCACCGATGATTTTATCTAAGAGTTGAATTTTGATCCTAATAACAGCATAACAATATTGAAATATTGCTTTCTTCAACTATAGTATAACTTAGATTGATTAAGGAAAAATACTGAGGTCTATAATTTCAATCCATCCGATTAACAAACAAAATCCTCTAACAAATGCATAACACGTGAAAAGCATCCAACCGACGATTGAATATCCTCGCAATATATGACAAACTAGAAGGATAAAAATTAATTTCAACCATACCAAAATCTAACCAGCAAAGGCAAGAATTCACAAGATAGCAAACTCTTTAATTTGAAATTACAAAGTTTTTTTAAGGAGAATAATATCAATCAAAAGCATAGCACATAGTTAGGGAGCATATGACCAACACGCAAACAAATCAATTACATCAAATCCTCGGCAACATATAACCAAATCATTATAGAGTTAAAAATAATAATTATATAGCAGAAGGATGAGGAAATTATCACTTGGTGTAAATAATGTGCCTCTAGAAAAACAAACATCCATTTGGAATTTAAGCAAAGATATATGATTGTTTCAAAACAAGAAGCACCCAACTGATTGTTTCAAAGCGAAGTTTCAAATCCTCTGGCTGGATGATCAATTAATCAAAGAGTCAATAGAGAAATTAAGCAACAATTAACGAGTTTATATCAACACAACCAATCAAAGAAAATTCACAAAAAATAGTCATCTAAGATACATTACCAACTATTAGACCATCTAAAAGTAAAAACACTAAAATCCCCACAAAACTATCTCCTACGATCAGAGGAGTAATTTTCAAGGACATCCGATTTAAAGATTTCTATTTTGTATCAAATCCAATAACATGTGAAAAAGAAATAAACAAACAATTTCAAGTAATAAACCAATTCCATCAAGAGTGAAACTTTGATCCTATGCAAAAACTAACTTTGACAACAAAAATGAATAATCTTTCACTAGAAAAAGCCGACTTTGAAACTTTAAGCAAAGAAATAGGATAACTTGAAAAGAGTCCAATGTTTTTTTCTTCCTTCGACCAATGCATAATTTGTCTTAACCATCCCACTAATGATTCCAAGGCTTTTTTCTTATCCTCCTACTATAACTCATATTGAATATGCTCATTTGTTTCATTAAAGGAGGATCGATTTACCCAACCATCGAAGAGTCAAATTAAATATGAGTTATAGTAGGAGGATAAGAAAAAAGCTGCCTTTGAAACTTTTCAAAGAAATAGGATAAATTGAACGAGTCCAATGTTTTTTTATTTCCTTCGACCAATGCATAATTTGTCTTAGTCATCCCACTAATGATTCCAAATCGATCCTCTTAATCTTATTTCATGATTGCTTTAATGAAATAAAGGATTATATTCAACAAGATAACGGGTCAATAGTTTCTAATCCTCAACCACATATAACCCAACCATCAAAGAGTCAAATTAAATATGAGTTATAGTAGGAGGATAAGAAAACTATAGCTGTTGTAGATAATATCCCACTAGAAAAAAGCAGCCTTTGAAAATTTAAGCATAGAAATAGGAAAATTTGAAAAGAGTCCAATGTTTTTTTTTCCTTTGACCAATGCATATGGGTCAATAGTTTCAAATCCTCAACCACACATAACCCAACCATCGAAGAGTCAAATTAAATATGAGTTATAGTACTAGGGCCTTTGAAACTTTAAGCAAAGACATAGGATAAATTGAAAAGAGTCCAATGTGATTTTGTCCATCGACCAATGCATAATTTGTCTTAACCATCCCACTAATGATTCCAAATCGATCTTCTTAATTCTATTTCAAGATTGCTTTAATGAAACAAAGGAGCATAGCTAACGGGTCAATAGTTTCAAATCCTCAACCACATATAACCCAACCATCCAAGAGCCAAATTAAATATGAGTTATAGTAGGAGGATAAGAAAACTATAGTTGTTGTATATAATATCCCAACAAAAGCCACCTTTGAAACTCTAAGCAAAGAACATTGGATAATATTCCACTAGAAAAAAAACAGCCAACCATCCTTGAATCTTTACGCAAAGAAATAGGATAAACTTAAAAGAGTTCAATGCTTTGTTACCCTCCAACAAATGCATAATTTCTCTTAAACATCCCACCAATGGTCATAATGAGAGAGCAATAATATTGTTTTCATCTATGGTAGAAAAATCTACGAAGTAGCATGCAAGAAATTGAAGTCAAAACACCCACCCATCTCAACTAGAGAGCAATAAGGGTATACTGAAAAGTAATAAAAAACATTTCATCCATCTATGATTCCATCCAAATATCTCAAAAGCTGAAGTTAGAACAGAGAGCATTCCCACTAAACCACCATGTCCATCGATCAAACAAATAATTTGGATTTCATTCTAACAAATATAGCAGGATGTAAGGGACCACCAAAACGAAAACCCTATACCATCACATAGGGCATGTATAAAGCAATTCCAATGTTGCTCAGAGTCCGACCATGCATAACCCAAACAATCATCTAAATTTGAAACAAGATAGTCAAACTCCTAAATATGAAATTACCAAACAAATTTAGGGAAAAGACACATCAACAGAGAGCATTCCGTATTAGAGGATCTTAAAAAAATTTATGGACCGCAGAATACTTTCCGAGTTCATCTCTCAAGACCGACCTTCGAACATCCGTCGTGCTTCACGGATTATTACTCTACCCCCGATTTATAACAGATCACGAGATCGTTTGAAAGAGAGCTTACTCGAAAATAAAAGGACCAAAAAATCGATTAAGAGAAATTACCGAATAAACCCCATCAAAAAGTTTCGGATCTATAAACCCTACCGAATAAAGCATAAATCCATCAACGAAATCACGATGCCTTCAAATATTCTCCACATCCCCCCGTTCGAACTTATTAAGAAATCACAGGTTGAGAATCGACACACGCAATACGTATAAAGAATCGTAACAATAAGAGTGAATGGGGGAAAAAGTACCTTCAGATCGATGAGGAGTCGGAGTTGATTCAAGGGAAGGATCTCCCATTTTATACTGTGGGGATTTCAGTAATCTTCTCGACATTTCCCCGCCCACAAAAAAAAAGGAAGAAAGAAAAAGGGATGAGACAGGAAGAGGGAGACAAATCCCTAAAGATCTCATCGCCATGTTTTTTGGTTTTCTTGCATCGCAAGCTCAACGGTCACTCCAAAAACCCTCAATTGAAATCGCCCAATTTCCATTGTCTGATCTTTTAAAGCGCTCTCTCTTACTCGATTTTCCCTTTTTGCCCCAGCAACTTCCCGCGCACACCTGTCAAAAAAAACTTCCCGCGCACTGCAAAGTCGAAAATGCCCTCGAGTCACGCTCACCTCCACGTCATACCCGTTTATTTTTTATTTTTTAGGAAAAGCCCGTTTAATTTTTAAATAATACATTACGACATCGTTTATTAGGAAATTGCCTTCGTTTATTCAAATGTACTTTTCCGGGAAATTGGGTTTCTAACCCATTATATAGGATTTTTGACCCTTTTTTAAAAAATTTAATTTGTGATTCCTACGGTTCTAATTTGTGATCTCTTTTCACTTTTTGTCTAGGTAAAATTATCAAAATATCATTGTTTATTTTAACTAAAATTATCCACCAATATATTCTCTCAACACTTACCATTGTTTTTTAATTTTTGAATCGATTAATTTAGGAATCAATTACTTAACATAATCCACACAAAAAAAAATTTGTATGATCCAAAAATAAATGCATAAGATTTGTCCGGATTTAATTACAAAAAAAAATTAAGATTTCATAAATATCGGGCCAAAATTGCATTAAATGCCCGAGATCTTTGTAATCTTGATTTTTTTTGTAATTAAATTCGCACAAATCTTATGTAATTATGTAAGTTTTTTATTTTTTCATATTAAACTTTAGTTAGATTTTTTTAGAGTTGTAATTAATTATTGTGAGGGATTCGTAGAGGGAATAAAGATTGGAAAGAGATTTGTGGGGATATTGATTTTGAAACATGAGGGTACTACGTTAATTTCACATTTAAAAATTATGAAATTATTAATAAATAAGGAAGAGTGAGGTCATTAGATTAGTTTTTTTTGAAGAATGAGGTCATAAATACAAAGTGAATTATGGTAGGGGTCAAAATTTTAAATTTCCCTATTTTTCCCTCAATTTTCATTATTAATGTTTTCGAAATCCAATTTTTCACCCTCAATTTTTTACTCCCATTCAACTTTACTTTGTATAAAATATTAGAATATTTGCTTCTGTTTATTACTTTCATTAACTAATTTTAACAAAGAAAAAAAACATAAAATCTACCAAAATTTATTATTATTATTTTTTAATATATGTGATTGTACACGCCAGCTTAGGCCCATATTCACTAATCTTATGGACTAATCACTTGACCCTACAACATTTGATGTCGGGAAACACATATGAATTAGTAAATTAGTTTAACAAAGAGAAAGAATGACATCAAATTAGTTTACCCTTAAATAATAGATCTCCCAAACTCACAAATTCTTAGTAAAATTTGTATTCTTTAAATTCCGTAAATTTTATATTTAGTCTATGTTATAGCCTAGGGAACAAAAGCAAAGACTAGACCGGGGAAGAAGCGCACGGGTCAAGTAAGCGCCAAAAAACGTCGACCCGGGCCAACCTGGGTCGACCTTAGCCGACCAAGCGCCTCGGCCCGGAGACCTCCTCGGTGCCGAGTAGTTCTCGGCCTTCGAACGAGAACTGTAACGGCCCACCCGACCGTTTCGCAGTACCTCCCGTTTCGCAGTTACACTCATAACGAGTTTGAAATCCTAGGATTCATAGGGGACTGCTATAAGAGGGAGATGGACGGAACCCTAGAGGTATGCAAAAAATTAAATACCCTACTCTCTATACTCTAATTTTATATCCATCTACTTTCCTTGCTAACTTAGACATCGGAGTCCGTGTGACTGGAGTCACACCGATTTAGGTTTGATTGGTTTTGTAGGTTTTTTGTCCCCTGTTTATCAAGTTTGGTGCGAACCTCAGAAGGAACCGGGAGAGCATAATTCACGCATCAACGGTCTCTATTTTATGATTGGTTGAACCTATATGAGATATATTATTTTACCAAATTTTCAAATAAATTATAATATTTATCAAATATTTTAGGTAAATAATAAGCTTTACAATTTTAACTTCAAATGTTTTGAAATCTTTCAAAAAGACTTCAATTTCTCCTTAAATTAAGGGATTGTACAATCCCTTATGCCAAAACGAGCATAACTCTACGGTAATTGACATATACCTCCAACAACAGGTTGTGAGTTCGATCTCTCACCCCACATGTTATACTAAAAAAATAATCTCTTCGTATTCGACTTTATTGTATAATCTTTCATGAATGTTATTTATGACCGTAGATCCAAAATAGTAACTTAGCATTTAGTTGGATTTTATAACATTAATTTCATGAGTGCTCTCCTCTCTACTAGTTGCCTACTTTTGTGAATAAGAAAATATCCTATGAATCTTCTTTTATACCACACGCTACACACATTTTATATTGTTTTTCCTCCCATTTCTGCTTTTTTTTTTTAAATCAAATTTCTTCCACTTATGATTTGGTATAGTTTGATTTGAAATGGGAGGAATGACAAATCATCAATTTTGGTCAAATTTGCAACTAGCTTGGGTAAAAAAAAAAAAAAAAGTGAGTTTTTAATTATTGTATACTATGAGATTTGTTAGCTAGGTTATTTAAATTTGGCTCCTGAAACTTATTTATAAATTATCCATTTTTATATATGTACTCCTACTTATCAAAGATATGCTATATAAAAACTCTAAGTGATGTGGGATGTATATTTGAATTTTGGATCTTTTAGTTGAACTATGTTATTTGGTTAAATTGTCAATTTGAATATATTTCAATGGTTAAGATACACATTTCACCTGTTGAACTCGACAAGAAGACTAGAAAAAAATGGCTTTTATTTATAAAACGATATAATGATACATCAAATTATCAATAGAAACTCTACATGATGCCAAGATAAAATAAAGGTGATGCTATATTTTCCCACATTAAAAAAAAACTAAACTAAACTAAAAAAGTGAATGACGGTTTGGAAAACTTTTACTTATTTTTTAATTTTCAAAATGTTTATTAATGAATTATAAAAATTAATGTTATTTCACAGCTTCATTATTTTGAAAAGAATACCCTCCGAGGGTTGAAGATATTTTCCAAAAGTATTTTCAAAGTTTTGTTTGTGATTCGAAAATTCAAAAAAAAAAAAAAAATTGACGGAGCTAAAATAAAGAATTTAGTAGTATTTTTACAAATTAGAAAAACTATTTTGGAACTAAAATTCAGAGACTTCATAATGAATTTAGAGAATGTTAGATGAAATCTATCTATTATTAGAAACTTCGAAACATAATAATTTTTATTGATATTTTTAAAGATAAAAATAATTTAATAGTTATGTATGTTAATAATTAGAAAATCTTCGAGGGAGGCTCAAATTTTATTTTCTATTTTCGTTCTGAAAAAGGAAGAAGAAAATTTTGAAATTTGTCTTTGACATGTCTTCAAATTACCTTAGATACAATTTTGAAAGTTAAAATAAATAGTAATTTGTATAGTATTTAATTGTTTTTCACTTTTAATAATTTTTTTCTAAACAAATTAAATTAAAAGAGAAGAAAATATTACTTATGAATTTGAACAAGATAAGTAATGCTTTCAGAACCATACTTATATTAACTTCCAAAGGAATCGAACAATTGGTTAATTGAATTTTGTATCGACAAAAAAAAATCATGAAATTAGAAAATTAGAAGAAAAAACCAAAAACTACGAACACGGCGGAGCGACGACGCCTCCGCCGTCACTCCGTTCAGTGGCACGAATCGTCCGGCCAAAGCAATACGAAAAATACAAAATGCCGCGGCGGCCGCCGGCCGGCGAGAGAAGCCACGAGAAACCGCAAATTTGATCCATAAAATTCAAATTCGAATCATTACAATTCAAAAGATTTCCGAGCCGAACGAAAGCTTCGGCAATGGCTTCGTCTCCTCCAAAAATTCGTTTCCTGCGGAGTTCAATCCTCAGAGTTAGGGCATCCTGCTGCAGCTCCGATTCCTCCAAACAGAATCTCATCGGAAAATTCCAGACCGGATTGTCGCCGAAGTAATTAGCGAGCGGCGTAAATTGGACGGCCGGCTCGCCTCCGACGACGGAGACGGCCGCGTAAACTTTGGTTTTCTGGAAAAAATTGACGAAACTGAGAACGCCTTTTTGGCCTTCGGCGCAGGTGATGTTTATGTTGAATTCTCTGAAATCAGTCGACATTTCGAAGATCGAAAATGAAAGTGAAAATGGAGGATTTGAGAGAGGCGTTTGTTTCTCGAGAAAAATGAATTGAATGTGTGAATTTTGATGTGAGAATCTTGTGTTGGTTTGTTTATAAGTTGAAGGGAAGATTCGAATTGGAGAAGGATTAGGAGACGTGGATTTTGAAGTTCTTTTAGTAGCTTTGAAATTTGTTATCTATAACGATTTACAACTCTTTTTAAATTTTCCTAAAACTATAACGAGAAGATAATAAAAAAAAAATATCTTAATCTTGAATGAAATTCTAAATTTAATATGTATTTTTAAAAATGTTATAATTTTTTTTAATATAGTCCAAGTTTTAGAGGTTGGAAATATGGAAGTGAAAATATTGATAAAAAGTCGAAAAATTATTAAAATAAAATAATTCATAAGAAGTATTTGAATTAAAAAAAAAGCATTTTGCATTTTTTAAATAAGTTAGAAAATCTTATTATTAATATTGTATCTATATTAGTGAATATAATATATATATATAGTCGAATTTTTTGTGATAGCACCATTGATTCACCCTTTATGTCGATGAAAATATTGACCTATTAAATTTAATTCTTTGGATCTAACATAAGCTTGTAAAATTTTTTAACTTCTTCCTATATGTTTTTTCTTTTTTTTGATATTCGTGAGTGTCCGGGCCAACTTACATGCACCTCGACTAATTTCACGGGACAATCGCTTGATCCTATAACATTTTGTGTTGGAAACACATAAGAATTACTAATTTCATATTTATTTTAAGGTATTTATGGAAATGCCTCTCTTTTTTTTTTGAAGTATGTGAATGCCTCTATATATAATTAATATATATATACACACATATACATATGTATAAATCTAATCTTGTGCAGAATTCAACTTTAAAAAGTTGATTAAATTACAAGTTTAGTCTTTAAATTTAAGAACTATGACTAATACGTGTTCAATTTTTCAATTTTATGTCTAATAGGTTTGTGTAATTATAAAAAAAATATGTAATGAGTAAGGAGATAGATTAGGCACATAATTGAAAGTTCAGAAATTTATGAGATACTTTTTAAAGTTTAAGAACTTATGAATACAAAATTGAAGGTTTGGGGATATTTTAGATCATTTTTAAAGGTCAACGACCTATTAGATACAATCTAGAAGGTTTTGTGATTAAACTTGTAATTTAGCCTAAAAAATTGGATAATGGTTATAATGTCATTATTGTTAGTATCATTGACACCTAACAAGAAGTCCTTGTGGTTGTACTCTTTCTAATTTTGCCAAACCTATACATGGTTAATAGTTAAGGCACCAAAAAGGTTCTCTCAATAAGTTAAAAGGTTAAATTAATACACATAGATCATTAGCATTATGTTAATTATAACGGTATTAACGGTAGAAACTTAATAAAGCATGAACTAAAGTTTAAATTACTACCTTAAATTTTAGGTTAAGGTACTTTGAATTATCATTGGATGTAATCTTTATTGTTAACATTGTTAGTCTAAATGATGTCATGACATATGCCTATTAAACAAATATTTGATTTAGTATAATGCAACATTGATGAAGCACCACATGTTAGAGCCCGTGACCTCAAACATTTTAAATTTTTTTTATCATGGCCTTACCCTAACCCGACTTGGAACTTTTATTCCGTAGAATTTATCATTTTATTTTACTAAATAAAAAAAAAGATTCACATAAATATCATAAAATATGAAATTAGCATGGAGTTTAAAAACCATAGACCTGTTAAAAAAAAAAAAGAAGATAAATATTAAACCTAAAATAGAAAGTTGACATGATTATAAAGAATAGAATAACAATTCACCAATATAATTGTTGCAGTGGTTTATGATTTGAGATTCTAAAGTTGAATCAAAATGTCAACAATAATGAAGTGTATGAAAATCAGAACTTTGAAAAAGCCAAAGGGAAGAATGTTTTTCCTTTTCCTAAGAGATTAATATCCGTCCAGTTCATGTTCATGATCATGTTTCATGCCGCCTTCTTCTTTAGCATATATTCTATTCTGTGGAATATTCCAATTTTTTTAAACCTCAAATCTTCGTAACCATTCAATGCACATTAATATATAAACTAAAGTTTCCTCTCACTACAAAAATTCCATGAAAAAAGAATTGCTGTTCATTAATAAATACGGTTCCTTTTCTTTTCTTTAATTCATGAAAAAAGAATGTATATTCCTTTTTTACTCTAATATTTAACAAATCTCTATAATTTGACAAGAAAAGTCCCCAAAACAATAGGACTAATCATCAAAATGTGAAGAAAATAGAAGAGAAATAATCCATAGGAACTTAGAGTTTTAATATGCTAAAACATTATAACTTCAATAAAAAGAGCTTAAAGCCAAAAAGTCGAGAAGTTGAAATCCCACAGGGAGATTGAGAATTGAACTGAGCCTATTTGGATATAAGAGTTTATTTATCTCCAATTTAGAACCATATGAACTAGCAACTCTCATGCTTTGAGAACTCAAATTTTAAAAATTACTTTAGCATTATATACTTATCTGTACAAATCAACATTGCATATGGGTAAAATCACATAAGAAACAATGCATGCATTAATACCAGAAGGAAAATCAGAAGGTAAAAACAGATTCTATCTCATATCAGTGAACGATTCTTTACAAACTTTTTCAAAAAAATGCAAAAAACTAGTCATTCTAATGGAAACTTGCAACAATTTATTTTAAAAACTTCTGTAATCTAAAGCTTCAAAGCCTCATATACATGGCAGAGACATACTGATCAAAAAGGAAGACGTCTGAAGAGAGAGAGCTTAGAAATCAAAGCCATCACCAAAGCCAGCATCATATCCAGCATCATAGGCTGCAGCATCGCCCACATCTGAAATCATATCGCCGATCAGCAAACCTCCGAGCAGACCAGCTCCGGCTCCCAAAGCCAATCCACCCATTCCGCTCCTCTGTGGCTTATGCGGCTGTTGCACCGGCGGATATCCGTACCCCGGCGCCGGCTGTGGGTAGCCGCCGTACGCGTATCCAGGTTGTGGAGCCGGTGGATATCCGTACCCTTGCGGCGGAGGCGGATAAGCATAAGCGCTGCCTACCGGAGGCGGATGTGCACCGCCGGCCGGATATCCGGAACTAGATCCAGGATAACCTTGGGGATAAGCCGTCACAGGCTCGGCGGCTTTCTTTGCCGGTGGAGGCGGCGCCTGAACCGTGTATTTTTCCCCAAATTTGTAAGAAAACTCCACGGTGCCTTTCTCCTTTCCGCTCGGCGTCCTGACGGCGAAAGTCAGAGTTCTCTCGGATTTCTCGCCAACGCCTTTCGCAGTTTCATCGAGCAGTTTCTTGATCGGAACGAAAACCTTACCGATCTTCTTATCGCCAAAACTCCTATCGGAAACGAGTTTGATCTTCAGAGTAAGTCGGTTACCCTGTGCAGCAGCCTCATCGATTGTGAACCTCATCGAGTGATTCCACTGAGGATCCGTGCCGCCGTCTTTAGCCACCGGCGTCTTCTGCTTCGATTTCCCACGCGGATCGCCGGAGATCGAAACGACGGCGTAAACGTCCATCGTCGAGAAGAGATTCACGTTCTTTAAACCCTTGGCCCTCTTGATGTTGATATCTAACGTTCTACACTCCATGGCTGAAGAATCAGAGCAAGAAAATTCAATTCGATTCAAGGAAAATCGAAAGCAAATCTCGGAGTTCGGAATTCTTCTGGAAAATGAAACGAAATCGGAAGCAACTTGTGTTGTAGATAACTGTGAGTTCGCAAATGAAGGCTTCGGTTATATATAGGGCAGGAAATTCCGGGAAAATAAATTGGGGATATTTTCCCGGAAAGTGGAATTATTAAAAATAAATAAAAGGCCGACTAAAAAAGGAAAAAAAAATTGAGGGATTTGTGAACGCTTTGATTTGAAGCTTCTTTCTGGGATTCCAATTCAATTCCTAATTTTTTTTATTTAATTATATACGCGTTTTCATTTATTTAATTATTATTTCAATTTTATTTTTTGTCGCCTTTCAAATTTTTTACATTAACTTTTTTTTGTTTTTATTAAAATAATCAGAATTTTCAAATAGATATGAAGAAACAGAAAACTTTGAAAGGACCTTAAATTTCACACATGGAAGTTAGGATTTATAGACTTTGAAATTTATTTTTAAAACTAGATTATTTTTAAAGTTTGTTGTCACAATATAACCACCTCTCCAATTATCGATCCTCGTTCAATAAACTTCTATCATACATCTACGTAGAATCTACCAACCTTAACATAGTTTGGTTAAATCATTCTCTCATTTATTTGAGATTGGAGATTCAATTTTTTATCACTATATTTCTTACGTCATGAAAAAGTGATCCACTACATTATTTACCATATTTGCCTTAAAACTACTGAATTATGCTCATATTTGAAATATTATTAAATAAGAATGAGATGTATTTTTTGCCACGTAGAGATGAAATTTAGAGTTAATAAAAACATAAAGAAAATTAATATTTAATATTTATTTATAATCAAACCTTTTTTGCAATGAATTTTTCTCTTATTAATTGAAACTTTTTCACATCTAACAATGATTGTACAATTAAAAATATATGATGATTTCAAAGCAACAAAAGGTTAAAAAGATTCGAACTTCCATATTTATTAAGAGAAAAAAAAAGATTCTAATTTCCATATGGAATGAAGTTCAGAAGAAAATATTAAATATGGAATTTGTTAATATTTAAATTTTAATATCCCGTTAA